CTTGTTTAACACTAGTTAGTTTAGACTCAGAATTGACAAGGAATACTTTAGGTTTTGAATTGTAAGTTTTGGCCCTAGTTAACATGGGAAGAGTATTTTCAGGTGGTGGAACAACAAGTATACTAGTGCCAATTGAAGAAGATTGAGAAGACTCAAAGATGGGAATACAAGAAGACAATGTGAGTTCATTGGAGCAGAAAATGTTGTCAAGTTGTTGAGGTAAGGGAAGAGCTCTATAAGGGCTTGGCTGAGGAAGTGCATAATGAGTTTCAGTAGCAGCAGAGGTGGTATTTATAGATGGAATTTCTTGGGAGTTACCCTTAGGATAACTAGAGACCTTATCAGTTGTGCTCTCTGTAGAAGAGCCTACATTATGACTAGTAGACATTGACCTATGACTAGTGGATGGGATGGCTAGACTGTGCTATGTATCAGGATGTGTTAACTTTTGGGTATTTCCAGGTTATTGTGTAGCAAAACTAGTAGACCTGTGACTTTGGATAGGCTGGATAGGAGTATTTTGAGGGCTATTAAACTGGTGCATATTTTTAAGATTTTGTCCTTGGTCATAAATTTCAATAGTGGGACTTATGTTACTTGAGTGATACTGATCTAATGGGTCAAAGAACTAGTTCCCAACAGATGCTACCACTAGACTGGGAGTAAGACTAGTAGTAGGATCAATGTTGTTAACATGGCCAAGAGAGCTAGATGTATGACAAGACATAGAGACTAGGTGTGGAGTTTTTGTAGCAGAACTCTTGGAGCTATTGGGAAACAGATGAGGAAAAGGAAAGCAATGTTCATTAAAGGTGACATCCTTGGAGATTTACACTTTCCCATCTTTGTTCAGACACCTAAAGCCTTTATGTTGGGGAGAGGGCCAAGATACACACATTTTTTACTTCTTAGTTGCAATTTTTGTTTGTTGTAGGGAATAAGGAGAGGGAAACATGATCAGCCAAACACTTTCATTGTAGAGTCATCTGGGTCTTTACCATACAAAGCATGAAAGGGTGAATTAAAATTTTGTAAAATGGATGTGGGAATCCTATTGATTATGTAAACAAAAGTAAAGAAACTATAGTCCCAATAATCAATAGGTAAAAGGCATGAGCTAGTAATGTAAGTCCTATTTCAATAATTTGCTTATGTTTTCTCTCTACTGTACCATTTTGATGAGAAGTATGTGGACAAGTTAGCCTATGTGTGATCCCTAATTCTGCCAGATACTTATTGAATGCTTTAAACTCTCCTCCAAAATCAGACTTGATGGTCACATTGAACTGTGTTTGAACAAATATTGAAAACTGTTTGAAAGCATATAGAGCCTCAGACTTTTGCTTGAGCATGTACAACCATGTGTACCTAGTATGCCCATCTACAAAAGCTATGTAATACCTATGAGAGTTGATGTTGTTGTTAGTTGAACCATTTGAGGCATTGCTTGAGATGGACAACATAAAATTTTCATCAAACCTTTGCCAACAGGCTGTAACTTCATGTCCATATTTACCACAAAGTTGAAATGTTGGACGATTGCTAGATGTATATCTACCTCTTCCTTTGCTTCAACCATAATTGAATCTGCCTCTGCCACGGCCTACAGAGTAAGCTCCTCTAGAGTTATTAAGTTCTTGATTTGTATATGCCACATTTGTTGCAACAGTGGTAGCTGCCAATTTTTCACAAAACTTATCTAATTGTGCTTCTTGCACATAGAGAAAGGCTTCAATATCACAGAGAGTAGAAGGTGAAGGACACTCATACATCTGCATAACAAAGGAGTTGTATTCCTCAAGAAGACCTTGCAGTATAGAGTCAACTTGATCTTGCTCAGAAATAGAGTCACCAACATCCAAGAGTGAATTAGCTATGGCTTTGATTCTCAAGACATACTCAGTAATCGATTTGGTTCCCTTCTTGGTGGATTTGAGTTCAACTCTCGCCTGTCTACCCTAGCTTTCATTTGAGCATTAAAGAATTGGTGAATTTTTTTCCCAAACTTCATATGAATGTTTGCACGTAAGCACCCTTGGTAACATTGATTCAGAAATCGTGGATAATAACCAGATAAATAGTGCTTGATCTTGCACAATCCAAGATTCATAATCTTTAGAAATCATACCTGTAATCTGATTTTGATCATACTTCAACTTCTGCGGTATCTGCGGATTCACCACGAACTTGTGCATTTTCTAAGAGAGAATCACACCTTCAACTTGTTGATTCCAAAGGAGATAGTTGTTCTCCTGCAGCTTAATCAAGAGCTTTGGTCGGAAGGAACTCGTGGACTTGGACGCAACAAAATCACTGAAATTTTCTTGAGATTGTCATGGTTTTTGACTACCGATTCTTGCTTTTCTTTAGACGCCATTGATGAAGTTGAAACAAGATCTTGACTGATGCGAAGCTTGAGCGGAAATCCGAGTGAAACAGAGCGAAGTAGATTGAGCAGGAGAGCGCGGATGATCAATCACGCAAATGATACCATGTTGAGTTTCGTGTAAGTTATCTTTCACTCAGTGAAGATGAATGTTGCAGGTGGTGAAGAGAGCTTCACTCAGTGAAGCTGAAGCAAAAAGGAAGAAAAGGATAAAGTGAAAAAGGAAAATCTTATCATTGATTATTTCCACATGTACAATCTAATGCTTATATAAGCAGGTGACTAAGCACCTACAAGATGAGTTGGTAGTTACACCTCTAACCAATTCAGATACAACACTCTAACTACCAATGAGCTGACACTCATTTTGATTTATAATAATCTATGACAAATAGGTAAAGTATAAGATCCGTTAGTTTTAACTTTAAAAACATAATTTTCTTTTTGTATTGTTAAAAATAATTTGTATAAAAATATTTTTTAGAATATGATAAGTTCTTTTAAATCCGTTTTTTATGAATTGAAAGATTAATTTTGTCATCATGTAATATAAATATACATTATTAAATTTTAATATATAATTAAATCAAATTTATTTTTAAAAAGATATATCTCAAAAATGATATTTATGAAAATTTATTTGAAATAATTTTAAATTTAAGGAATTTTTTTTTGAAATTTTGATATTAAAATAAAATTATACCAAAAAGCTGAAATACCTAAAATACCATTTTAAATATAATTAGTTAAACAACTTTTTCTTTTAAAGTTTTTTTTTTAATATTTATAATATTTTTTCAACAAAAATATGATATACCATAAAAATATCTCTTTTTTAAGTCTAAAACAAATGGGCTCATGATAGTTCATATATACTATTCTACTTGCACAAATAATACAAATATTTACCCTATTAGAATTCAAAAACTGAGATATTGTTATACAAAAATATATTATTCATGTTTAATAACGAAAGAGATATAATTTATAATAATAACTTTAATAAATATTTGTGCTCGTGTTTTCGTTTATATGTGGTTAGAGTTTTATTCCAATTTTTATAATCACATTCTTATTGGTAAATCAAATATTAATGTTATTAGTTTTGATTAACTAAATATGAATTAAGGGATAGTGGCAGAAGTAACTCATATTTAGTAGTAGTATTCATTTTGTTAAGCTTAACCTAATTGGTGTAAGTTAACATTCTGCTATGTGGTATTATTGTTTGTGTATACAAACAAGTGTAGTTGTTAATAGTGTAGTGTGTGTAACCATTTATTGTAACCCTTTTAAAAGAGTAGTGAAAATTTCTTATTTCATTTTTCTCTCTCTTCTCTCTTTTCCTCCATCTTCATCTTCCTCATCTTCTTCATCTGTGTACCAATAATTTTAACTTATATTTTAGAGTTTTTGTTAAATTTATTTATTAAAAATAATATGTTTTATTACTTATATTTGGCTACCTTTCCTCAACACTTATATATGTAAAACTAAACTAAAAGCATACTTATATCATACCGAAAGAAAATAAATTTACAATCATAGCGTGTACTATATATTTATTGGTAAATTAGATCTAGAGAATGTGTGTTATTTTACTTTATAATAGTATATATTTTATAATAATATGAAATAAACTACACACCTTATAATACTTTATTTAAATTTATTAAAAATATCAAACATCAACTTTCATATTATTTTAAAGTCATATTAAATCTAGCCTAAAAAATTTAAGTGTAATTAGTTAGACCCATGACTTTGTTAAAAAAATCTAGAAAAGATCTAGTCAGATGATTGGTGTTTAGAAAATTAAAGGAAAAACTTATCTATCCCTCACACAAAAAATTGATAGTTTATTTTCATCCAATAACATGATACCATCTATTTTTAATATGTTCATTATTATTTATTAAATCATATAAATTTTTTATTATTTTTAAAATATTGATAATTTTACTAGTTTTTTAAATTGAATAAATAAAAATTCACCAAATTAAATACTTATATAATTAACCTTACTACCAAGTATAATGACCAATAATGACCAAATTCGGCATAAGTTTGACAAATAATTTTTATTTGAACGTTTCATTATACAAAATATGATTGTTTTGGCTGAGAAATTTTATAAAATATTATAACAACTTTGAATTGTTTTTATAATCAAAATGTTTATTTCAACTTTTTTTTAATTACAGTAAAAATAATAAATGTTATTGTATATCTAAATAAATATATTATTCAAAATTGTTATAAAAGCTTTATTATCCACTAATGAATTAACCTCTTGAAAATTACAAATGAATATAGTATTCGATGCATTAAGATACAAATGATTTTAAAACTCATCAATGTACTCACACATATATCACCAATACAATTTGTTTGTATTGACTGAATTTAGTATTTGGTTAAATGAATTTGGAAACTTCAAACTAATTTATTATATGCATTAGTCTGTTTGAAAAAAATCTTGAAATTTAAATTTCAAATTCATTCACTCACTATATTTCTTCTCTCATTCTCATTATTTTTTCACTCTTTTACACATAGTACTCTCTCTTTTAATCTCTTCTCAATTTTCTCACTATTATTCTATCAACTTATCATGAGTAACTTAGAACGTGATGATAAAGAATTTTTTGAAGCAAGTTCACCACCTCAACCTCAAACTTCCATAACTGACCCAAATGTACCTATTAGTATGTCACAAGAATTAACACCTTTTCAACGTATGTTTTCTAAACCAAATCTCCCACCTCAACCTCAACCATCATTACAAGAACCTATACCAAAATTGACACCATTTCAAAGGATGTTTTCCAATCAAATTCCATCACCTCAACCAAAGGTTCAACGTCCTGTTCCTCAACTAAGACCGTTTCATTTTCAGCCCATATTTTCACATCCAATTCCACCACCTCAACCGCTAATTCCACAGCCTCAACGATCAATCTTGTATTTTCCTCCTGGGCCATCACATCCTCCTCCTCCTTCTCCACCTCATCAACCTCCCCGTGTTCGTGCTCGGCTTAACCCACTAAGTGAAAAAAGCGAAACCATCCCTATACCTTTTCCATGGGCTACTAATCGAAGAGCAAAGCTTCACAGTTTGCATTATCTCCGCCAAAATGGAATAGTTAATATCACTGGAGAAGTCCAATGCAAGAGATGCGATACTATATTTGAAATGTCATTTGACGTGACAGAGAAGTTTCCTAAACTCTGGACATATATTCTCGAAAACAGACAATTCATGAACGATAGGGCGCCACCAAATGTATGGATGAATCCAACGTTGCCGGACTGTGTGCATTGTAATCAAGAAAACTGTGTAAAACCAATCATCGCTAAGAAGAAAAAGAATATCAATTGGCTGTTTCTGTTGCTAGGTCAATTGCTTGGCTGTTGCAACCTTGCCCAATTGAAATATTGCTGCAAACACACAAACAATCATCGAACCGGCGCAAAGGATAGAGTTCTTTATTTAACCTATCTCGCACTCTGCAAGCAACTTGATTCTACCGGACCTTTTAATCTTTAACCGTTAGCCATTTTGTTTCATGTTATGCGGATGATCTAAAATGTTATTATTCTATTTTTTTTAGTTTTTAGATGATGTTAGTTTTAAGTCTTTGGAATAATTTTAAGTTTTGCTAATATTTGACGTACAACAAACATAATTGTTTGTTTTAATTGTTTTAAGGAATGTATTCCTTTTATAATTATTTTTGTTTTGAATCCAGTGCATGAGTATTTTTTTTTAAGTAAAGTTCTTGTTCTTTAATTTCTATTCAGTTTTATTTGTTAGAATCACCCTAATAGTGTTAGGTTTTTACCACTGGGGAGAATGTTTTAGTGTAGTCAAAACCTAGTTCTTAGTGGAAACCTTTTGCCACAAGCTTGGATTTGTATATGTGAATTGTACCATTAGCATTTTCTTTTATCTTAAACACCCACCTATACTGCCTTTCTGTCAGGGGGTAGAGTGGTAAGTGTCCAGGTGTTATTAGCCTGAAGAGCATTGAACTCATCAGTCATGGCCTTAACTCACTCAGGCTTGGTCATAGCTTATTTAACACTAGTTGGTTCAGACTCGGAATTGACAAGGAATACTTTAGGTTTTGAATTGTCAATTTTGGCCCTAGTTAACATGGGATGAGTATTTTTAGGTGGTGGAACAACAGGTATACTAGTGCCAATTGAAGGAGATTGAGAAGACTCAGAGATGGGAATACAAGAAGACAATGTGAGTTCATTGGAGCAGAAAGTGTTGTCAAGTTGTTGAGCTAAGGGAAGAGCTCTATGAGGGCTTGGCTGAGGCAGTGTGGAATGAGTTTCAGTAGCAGCAGGGATGGTATTTATAGATGGAATTTCTTGGGAGTTACCATCAGGATAACTAGAGACCTTATCAGTTATGCTCTCTGTAGAAGAGCCTACATTATGACAAGTAGACTTTGACCTATGACTAGTGGATAGGATGGCTAGACTATGCTTTGTATCAGGATGTATTAACTTTTGGGTATTGCCAGACTGTTGTGTACCGGAACTAGTAGAGCTTTGACTTTGGATAGGCTGGATAGGACTATTCTAAGGGCTATTAAACAGGTGCATATTTTCAAGATTTTGTCCTTGGTCATAAAGTTAAATAGTGAGAGTTATGTTACTTGAGTGATACTGGTCTAATGGGTTAAAGAACTAGTTCCCAACAAATGCTACCACTAGACTAGGAGTAAGACCAGTAGTAGGACCAATGTTGTTAACATGGCCAAGAGAGCTAGATGTAGGACAAGACATAAAGACTAGGTGTGGAGTTTTTGTAGCAGAACTCTTGGAGCTAGTGGGAGACAGATGAGGAAAAGGAAAGCTATGTTCATTAAAGGTGACATCCTTGGAGATGTACACTTTCCCATCTTTTTTCAAACACCTAAAGCCTTTATGTTGGGCATAAGGAGAGGGAAACGTGAGCAGCCAAACACTTTCATTGTAGAGTAATCTAGGTCTTTACCATACAAAGCATGAAAGGGTGAATTACAATTTTGTAAAGTGGATGTGGGAATCCTATGATTATGTAAACAGAAGTAGAGAAACTATAGTCCCAATAATCAATAGGTAAAAAGGCATGAGCTAGTAATGTAAGTCCCATTTCAACAATTTGCCTATGTTTTCTCTCTACTGTACCATTTTGATGAGAAGTATGTGGACAAGTTATCCTATGTGTGATCCCTAATTCTGCCAGATACTTAGTGAAAGTTTTGAGCTCTCTTCCAAAATCAGACTGGACAGACTTGATGGTCACATTGAACTGTGTTTGAACAAATTTTGAAAATAGTTTGAAAGCATGTTGAGCCTCAGACTTTGGCTTGACCATGTACAACCATGTGTACCTAGTATGCCCATCTACAAAAGTTATGTAATACCTATAGCTAGAACTAGAGGGATTTGGGGAAGGACCCCATAAATCAGTATATATCATGTCAAAAGGTTTGTAATACATTATGGTAGTGAGAGGAGCATACAATTTATATGCCTTGCCAAGATTACAAGAAGTACAAATGACTGCTTATTTTTATTAATAGAGGGAATATCACACAGTTTGAGTATAGAAGATACAAAAGTACAATTGGCATGTCCAATCCTATGATGCCATAATATGCTAGTTTTACAAGTATCTATACTATGAGAATTTGAATTATAAATAACAAAGCTTTGAGCACCAGTGAAAGAAATAGATTTGTTGATGGTAGTGAGAGGAGCATACAATTTATATGCCTTGCCAAGATTGCAAGTACAATTGACTGCTTATTTTTATTAATAGAGAGAATATCACACAGTTTGAGTATAGAAGATTCATAATCACTAGAGAACTCATTAGGTAGGAACTCAAAAATAACATTATTATCACTAGAGAACTTTGAAACAGACAGTATGTCATGTAGGACATTGGCAAGAGCTAGCACACAAGAGGGATTGATTTTAGAGTAAAGTTGTGAGGACCCTATGGCTTGTGTGGCAAGTGTTTCACCATTTCCTACATAGACTTTATTGGTTCCTACATGAGGCTTTTTATTTGGCAAAAGAAAGGCATAGGATGTTAAGTGATGAGTTGCACCTGAGTCAGCAAACGAAGCCTGGGATTTAAGTTCAGATGGCAAATGATACTCTTGAGTGTATGTTGAGGGCCTGCTTGTAGTAGCCATTATTGCCACAGTCTGAGAGTTCTGGGAGACTTTAGTACTAACTTCTTGCTTCTGAGAGTTGATGTTGTTGTTGGTTGAACCATTTGAGGCATTGCTTAAGGTGGACGACATAAAATTTTCATCAAACCTTTGCCACCAGGATGTAACTACATGTCCATATTTACCACAAAGTTGACATGTTGGACGGTTGCCAGATTATATCTACCTCTTCCTCTGCTTCGACCACAATTGAATCTGCCTCTGCCACGACCTGCAGAGTAAGCTCCTATGGAGTTATTAAGTTCTTGATTTGTATATGCCACATTTGTTGCAACAGTGGTAGCTGCCAATTTTTCACAAAAATCATCTAATTGTGCTTCTTGCACATAGAAAAAGGCTTCAACATCACAGAGAGTAGAAGGTGAAGGACACTCATACATCTGCATAAAGAAGGAGTTATATTCCTCAGGAAGACCTTGCAATATAGAGTCAACTTGATCTTGCTCAGAAATAGAGTTACCAACATCCAAGAGTGAATTAGTTATGGCTTTGATTCTCAAGACATACTCAGTAATCGATTTGGTTCCCTTCATGGTGGATTTGAGTTCAACTCTCAACTGTCTAACCCTAGCTTTCATTTGAGCATTAAAGAATTGGTGAATTTTTTTCCCAAACTTCATATGAATGTTTGTACGCAAGCACCCTTGGTAGCATTGATTCAAAAATCGTGGATAATAACCAGATAAACAGTGCGTGATCTTGCACAATCCAAGATTCATAATCTTCAGAAATCATACCTGTAACCTGATCTTGATCATACTTGAACTTCTGCGGTATCTGCGGATTCACCGCGAACTTGTGCATTTTCTAAGAGAGAATCACACCTTCAACTTGTTGATTCCAAAGGAGATAGTTGTTCTGCTGCAACTTAATCAAGACCTTTGGTCCGAAGGAATTCGTGGACTTGGACGCAGCAAAACCACTGAAAGTATCTTGAAATCGTGCATGGTTTTTGACTACTGATTCTTGGTTTTCTTTAGACGCCATTGATGAAGTTGAAACAAGATCTTGACTGATGCGAAGCTTGAGCGGAAATCAGAGTGAAAGAGAGCGAAGAAGATTGAGCAGGAGAGCGCGGATGATCAATCACGCGAATGATACCATGTTGAGTTTCGTGTAAGTTATCTTTCACTAAGATGAATGTTGCAGGTGGTGAAGAGAGCTTCACTCAGTGAAGCCGGAGCAAAAGGGAAGAAAAGGATAAAGTAAAAAAGGAAAATCTTATCAATATATTTCCACATGTACAATATAATGCGGTGACTAAGCACCTACAAGATGGATAGTTAGATCCCTAACCAATTCAGTTACAACACTCTAACTATCAAACACTCTAACTATCAATGAGCTGGCACTCATTTTGATCTATAACAATCCATGACAAATAGGTAAATTATAAGATCCGGTAGCTTTAACTTTAAAAAAATAAATTTTTTCGTATTGTTAAAAATAATTTGTATAAAAATATTTTTTAAAATATTATAAGCTCTTTTAAATCTGTTTTTTATAAATTGAAAAATTAATTTTGTCTATCATGTAATATAAATATATATTATTAAAGTTTAAAATATAATTAAATCACATTTATTTTTAAAAACATATATCTCAAAAATAATATTTATGAAAATCTATTTGAAATAATTTTAAATTTAAGTAATTCTTTTTTTGAAATTTTGATATTAAAATAAAATTATACCAAAAAGATGAAATACCTAAAATAATATTTTAAATATAATTATTAAAACAATTTTTTCTTTTAAAGTTTTTTTTAAATATTTATTATATTTTTTCAACAAAAATATGTTATACCATAAAAATATCTCTTTTTAAATGTAAAACAAATAAGCTCATAATCAGTTGATGAGTTCATATATACTATTCAAATGATACAAATATTCACCCTATTTGAATTCAAAAACTGTGATGTGTTATACAAAAATATATTATTCATGTTTAATAACAAAAGAGATACAATTTATAATAATAATTTTAATAAACATTTGCGCTTGTGTTTTCGTTTATACGTGGTTAGAATTTTATTCCAATTTTTATAATCACATTTTTATTGATAAATCAAATATTGAGAATGGACTATTAAAACTGTTAACATCAAATCTCAAACGATTTTGTTAAAAGTAATTTATATTTAATAGTAATATCAATTTTCTTAAGCTTAATTTAGCTGGTGTAGGTTAGTTTTTACTTACGTTGCATTATTATTTGTATATATAAATAAGTGTAGTTGACAATGGTGTAATATGCGTAACCATTTAATGTAACCGTTTTGATAAAGTATTGGTAGTTTGTG